GCCCTAGGGGCGGAGCGGTCTTGTATGTCGAGGTCCTAAAAACTGCCAGAAAGAAAATCTCCCTGGATAGTTTGTGAATAAGCAGCGTCGGCTGCAGGGGAGGAGTCACTAGGAGCCTCGTAATAGAGGTCCCTGGTGATGGCTCGAAAAAGAAAGACCTTCTAGCGCAGCGGGTTAGCGCTGCGCTGGAGGGTTCGAGGGTGCGAGTCGCCAGGCTCACCAAATGCGTGGAGTTGCGCGTGGGGGGGGGGGGGAACGACTCTGTCACCCCGAGGGAAGTCGCGGCCGCCATCGCCGCAGCTGGCGACTGTGAGGTGGTGAACGTGAGGATCGGGGAGATCCTCCGTCCTTCCAGAGGAATGAGGATCGCGTGGGTGCGGTGCTCTGTGGGTGCCGCAATAAAAGCGATCAAGGGAGGGATCAGGGTGGGCTGGAGCCAGATTCCCGGCCCCTTAGGTATTACAGGTGCCTGGACGTGGGTCACGTCTGAGCCCTGTGCACCTCCTCGGTGAACCGCAGCGGGTTATGTTACCGCTGCGGTGTTAGTGGCCACCGAGCTAGCAGCCGCTCTGCGACGGCCCCGAGGTGTCCGCTGTGCGCGGACTCGGGGTTGCCAGCTGAGCACCGGCTGGGGGGGGCCGGGGGGCTTCCCCCTAAGGGAAGGGGGGGGGGGGGGGGAAGTGCGGACTCCTAGGGCAACAAGGAGGACCATTTTCCCCACGGTAACTTCGGATCCCAGGAAGGGTGATGGCGGGAGGTATGGGATGGCCTGGGAGCCCTTGGACTCCCGGCCGTCCCGCTCTCCCAGCTGATATTAGGCAGGCGAAGCTTGGGCGGACCCCCTACGGGGTTTCCGCCACGAGCGCTCCCTTTGCTCCGCCGGAGGACCTGTTTTCGGGGCTTAAGTCTCAGAATCGAGTTCTCTGAGCCGCGGCCCGGAGGGGGGTGGCCCGGTTCTTCTTACCACGGGGTCCCGGACCGTATTCCTCTCCTCACGGGTCGTGCGGGGGTCGGGGCTTAAGCGGGGATACCTGAGCTCCGACTCCGCCCCCGCACAACATCCAAGGGGGCGCGGCGATGGGGTTGTGGTCTCCCGTCGCAGCAAATTAGGTCTGGCATCCCCGCCCTGTGCGCCATCATCGACACACGCGGCGGGGGCCCGGGGGCCTCATGGGGGGTCGGGGTATTTGCCCGCCCTCGTGGGGTCCTCGGGGAGTAGGGACCCCTGGTTGAGGTCAGGTTGTGGGAGCGTTTCAGGATGAAGTAATGAAAAGTTCCCTAGCGCCTCCCCCTCCCCCCCGAGAAACCAGGGTAAGCCACACGTAGGTTTTTTAGCCGGTAAAAGTCCGGCATAACTACCCGCCCCACCCCGGAGGGCGGGGGTACTCATGACAGTTTTTCCTATGTTAAAAAAAAGGGCCTACTGTTTCTCCCCCGCAAGCAGAGGTGGGTAGGGGTGAACCTCGCTCCGCGCAAATGGTTTTCTGCATTGTACTTTCCACGCAAAGCGAGGTCCACTCCTACCCACCCCTGCTTGCGAGAGAGGAGCGGTAGCTTCTCTCCCGCCTACATGTGTATTGTCTATACCTTAAAACATATACATATAACTGGAAGAGAAATTGCCTATACTTCCCTTGAACGAGTCGGATAAAATTTGGAGCTTGTATTTTCTAAGATATTGTCATGAAAATGAAAAAAATGTTATCGCAGGACCACTAATGATAGACTAAAATGTTCAACCGTCGATCGAACAATGTGACCTATGATGTTATGATTTTTGTATCGTGACAACACGAGAATTGTGTTTACTTGATTTTTCGTATAGGCCCTAAATTATACATTTTATCTTAAAAAATACGAGCGATTTTGTATTTTAAATGATACAACTATATTCAAATAGTAGCATTTTATTTCATATCGGGTCATTTTATATCGCTTTATTTTGTATTGTGTAGAAATCTTTATACACTGTGTTGTAATCTAAAATTACAACGGGTAATTATTAAATTATTTATAATAAAATTATAGAATAGTCTTTCAAAAGACTTCGAGGAAATTGTCTTTCAAAAGACTCCTCAATTTACGCCGACGCGGACGCGGAAGTTCATCAAGCTTCCGCGTCAATCGAACTATTGCGATATGCATAAGAATGTGCGACAACGCATTTCGACATTCGCGGAACCGCGGAAGTTCATCAAGCTTCCGCGTCAATATTGCGAGATGCATAGGAATGTGCGACAACGCATTTCGACAATCGCGGAACCGCGGGAGTACAGCGAGATTGCGAATGCGCTCGGTCACTGACCGACCTCATTCGGGGGACCGTCGAACCCGGCGGAAAAGCGCCGACAGGGCATAACTCAAAACAATATAAGGGACCGTCGAAGAAGCCGCGACGGAGAGTAATACACCGGAGACTCTGCCCGTGACCGTTCTCATAAGTCGTGTCGCAAAGGTTTACATTATAACAAAACGCGTGCGAGTTATAGTAATTGTGAAAGGCAAAAACAAGTGTAAGTTAGTGAGTGTAAAAGGGGCGCTGAAATAAAGCTCCAATATAAAGTAAAACGAAGTGAAGTTCATTTAACGACGTCTACACCCCGTTCCACCTGCGAACCCGAGCGCTTCCTAGTCTGCCCGCCTATGCCTATCGAGTTCCAACTCGTAAGGTCAAGAGATCCCGAAAATAATAAACGTTTTGCCGTAAGCCGTCACCAACCGGCGACGCGGCATAACAACTGAGCCCCAGATAGCAAAGCGTATCTGAGCAAAATTGCGTAAATCTGTGATTGCTTATGATGCTGGCAACTTTCCGTATATTTGCTTCAATTGGTTTCGAGTAATTTAATATTTAAAGCAACACGCGGGCAACATTGGATATATGTATTGCCAGCAATTAATCGGCAAGGGAGCAGCATTAAATTTACTTCTCGTTGCTAGCAATATAACAGAATTGTGTGATCCTATGAATTATTACAGCAACATGACAGCAACAGCTCGAATTTTGAATCAGACGATTTTAGACCGCAGCATAAGTTACCAACAAGTTGCTAACAAGTTACTGTACAAAATTGTTATATCGTGAAGGCATCAACTTGCCGACAAATGCGGACTCAGTGGCCACAATTAATAACAACACATACTATGCTGTCGGCAATATGCCAGCAACAATGCAGACACGTTGCTATTTGGGTCGGATTTTACTTACGAGAGCGGACGCCTCGTAGCGGCGAAATCGATAACTATTCTATGCCTCAGCACTTTTCTATATATAACAGATAGCGGTTTTGTACAATTCGTTGATTTAAGGTAGTTGTACCGCAAAACCCATTTTCATAGGAACTTTTATGAACAGCAAGTTAATGCAAACACGATCTACACACACGTGCAAGTAGAAAAAGCTTGACTATACTAAAGTTGAAATAATTTAAATCAAATTTAGCACTTTTTACATGTATCGTAGGACGAAAACGGCTTCCTTTATCACGTTTATAATTGAAGCGATCAAACTACTTATACGATTTTAATGAAAAACAAAGAGATAACAAAAGAGACTTGTAAAAATATTTTTACAAAAATACAAGACCCTTTTCTATCTAGTTTTGAAGCAATTGTTACGCAAAGTAGGGGGAATCCGGGAGACTTGACCATAGAGGAGAGTTGAACCATTTCAAATATCTCGTTCAAATTTTGAACAAAGAGCTCAATCCGATCACGTTAAAACACGTTTGTCTCAATCACAGTCGAAACGCACTACCAAGCGTCATGTTGTCACGTGCTCGAATTGAGCTCTTTGTTCAAAATTTGAACGAGATATTTAAAGTGGTTCAACTCTCCTCTATGGTCAAGTATCCCGGACTCCCCCTACACAATTTCTCATAGCGGTGGACGCATACGACAGCTAACCTGTAAAGATCTTTAGATATATATGTAGTTCAAACATTGCCGCTAAAGCTTTAAGTCTTTTCTTCAATACTTTTTCTCTCATTAATCTTCTTTTGTAACGTCCAACAGACATTTTCGCTTCTATTTTTTCTATTCTATTCAAAATAACCTCGATAGCATACTAACGCGAGCGTCGCCAGCTAATCTCGATGGTATACTGATATTACTGACGCGAGTAAAAACAGTAAAAACAGTAAAAGCTCAGTCATAAGTTTTACACAGATAAGTAGAGTTTTCCGTACATTATCGTATATGCAGTGTGATCATTATTTTTTACTAATACTGTCGCGATATACAACTACCTTAACTAAATGGTACGGAAATGTCACTGTTTACTAACGCATAGCATTTGTTAACTAACTAAATCGAATGTTACGGATTGTGTCGCTGGACTCTTGGAGTTAATACAATTTGTTCATAATTTGTTTACAATTTTATTAGACTCTATATTGTATACGTTATTGAGTGTCCGCACGTCTTTCCTAAATTGTTAATTAAGCATTCCGAAGCGACTGGCAATTAGTTGATTTTTCTAACACTTCTCTAAATTGTTAATTTAGCGTTCTAAGGTAATTAACAATATCTGAGTCATAACTCAGGTAAGTAAGATGGCACTCTGTCGATACCATCGAAAGAAACTTTCAAAATAAAATAATACTCTCACGGTTAATAGTTGACAGCGTTTTTTTTTAATTTTTGCAAAAAAATTATGGATTTTTTTTTAGTATCAGCCTATTATAAGCAATTGATTCATATATAGTATTATTCGATCAGTCAAGCGGTTGTGGAGGAGTTGTGATTATAAAAATGATGCAAAGTCAGATATAGAGGAGCTACGCTAGCTTCGCTCGCCCCAACAAAAACATTAAGTGTAAAAAAATCTAAAGATATAAAATATTGTTTGGAAATGCAGGTTATTAAAAAAATTATAAACTCAAATAAAAAAAACTATTATAAATTTGAATCTGAGAAAAAATCTAAAGATTAAAAAATCTTAAACTCAAGAGACTGCGAGAATTAAAGAAAAAAAATCTTGTCTGGAATATTGTCTTCACCTTCGATCTGTTCTCGAAATAATACGGCCCATTTGCATGAAATACGGCATCGCGTACATAACAACTAGTTCTTTTTCATCAATCGGCGCTTTAATAAATTCTCGCAGATAAACGAGCCAATGCAGCTGCGGAACCTCCTGTTGCAATTTTTGCAACGTTAATTTCCGATACATCGCCGAGGTATCATGTCTATCTGCTTCCGGTAACGAAGCCTGAAATCATACAAAATTATTGTAAATTATTGTGTAAATCTATACAGATTGTTTGAAAATTTTCTTTCAATGTTTTTTCACTCCCACTTTCCTTCTCTTTGCGTTCTCTCTTTTTCTCTCTCTTTTCTCTCTCTCTCTTCTCTCTCTCTCTCTCTCTCTCTCTCTCTCTCTCTCTCTCTCTCTCTCTCTGCCCCTCTCTCTCTCTCTCTCTCTCTTAGTTATTCGGAAGCGGTAAAGGAGAGAAGAAGAAAAATGTGATAATTGTTAAACCATTCAAACAACAAGAGAGTGAAACTACCAAGAAATTGGTAAAAGAAAAAGTAGATATAAAAAATCTAGCAGTATGAATAACAAAGCTTAGAAATAGTAGTGAGGGGACAGTTATTCTCGGATGTGAGAATGAAAGAAAGATGGAAAATCTGAAGTCCACAGTACGTGATAAGTTAGGAGAAGATTTTAAAATTATGGAACCAAGAAGGATTGAACCAAAAATAAAAATCATAAATGTTGGTGCAGAGGAAATGAAAATCGATGAAGAAAACCTAATAGATACAATCATAAAACAGAATAAAAAATTGATGGAGACAGAAATAGATTTTTTATAAGAGTGGTGAAGAGAATTGTCAAAGAGAGAAAAAATAACAATATGCGATTCAGAGAAAAAGGAAATGAAGAAGGTTAGATAATATTAGAAGCAGAAATGACTCAGAGTTTAATGCTAGAAAGAGAAAAAGTAAACATTGGATGGCGTAAATGCCGTGTATTTAAATACTTGAGTGTCAAAAGATGCTTCAAATGTTGGGGCTATTACCACATTGCCAAACACTGTGCAAAACAGGTCACATGCCACATGTGTGCAGAAAATCACAAAGCTAGCGAATACTCTGCACCAAAGAAAAAATGTGTAAATTGTATGCAAAAATAAGACATACAATCTGAAGATTAATGACGAGCATGGTGCATTACATGCAGAATGTCCAACATTCAAGAAGACATTGGAAGAGGAGGAAAAGAGAACCGGATGGGACGATGTGTGCAATTATGGTCAGAAACGGAACTAATATTATATACAAATGCACAAAGTTTGGAGGCATAAAAAAAAGAAATTCAGCATCAAGTTGTGAAAAGGAGTAACCCTGCAATATTGGCATTATCAGAGACCAGATTGATACCGGACATGGAAGATAGCGATGTGAACATACCGGGATACTGCATAGCTAGGTGTGATACGGAAAACAGGCATACAGGAGGAGTCGCTATATATGTGAGGAATGATATAAAGCATGATGTAGTATTATCGAGAAAGATGAATTCTAACTGTTGGTGCGCAGCAGTAGAGATATGGGAATAATTTTATAAAGGTGTGATAGTAGTTGTTTATCACTCACCGAGTGCGGCCGATGGTGACTTTGTAAGATTTATAGAGGATGTGATAGAGGAATTAGCGATTAAAGGAGAGTGTATGGTGGTTGGGGATTTCAATATAGATTTAAGGTCAGATTCGTCTTATGCGAGGAAATTAATAATGGCAATGTTAGGCTTAGGATTTGAACGATATGTCGATAGCCCGACGAGAATTACTAAAGATAGCCAAACAGCAATAGATTTGATCTCTGCTAATAATAAAGTAAATGTACAAGTAGATTATAGACCTAAGATAACAGATCATGCGTGGCTGAAAATTGACCTTGGTGTAATAATTCGGGGGATAAAAAATTTATTAATAAAGACTAATATATTAAATTTACTAACTATAGTAAATTTTGCGTTAACGAATTTATTGAACTAGTAGAAAGGAACATAGAACAAAGACAGGAATTAGATGTGAGTGTGAGAGCGGATATAAGTGTGAAAGCGGATAAATTTGTTGAGAGTATGGTGTATGCACTAGATACTATAGCGCCTAAGAAAAAATTCAAAATTTCGAAGGTCTGGGAAGGTAAAAAATGGTTCACAAATCACAGATGAGATAAGAAGAGTTGCAGCTAAGAGAGATGAAGCGTACAATAGGGCAGTAAACACAGGTGAACAATTGGAAAGGGATGGAGAGGCTGGAGCGGACGGTGGCCCAGAGTGTTGGCGGAGAAAGTAAGGGATTGCAAAAGGAAATAAGGGCAGATAAAATGGAGCAGGATGGTGGAACTGGTGGAGGACGCTCGGAAGAGGTCGAGGAGATGGAGGTGGAGTAGAGGATGGCGTGGTTCGAGAGCGGTGAAGGAGAAAAAGAAGAGCGATCTTGGAGGTTAGGATGACGAGAAGGAGGATGAAAGAGCAGAGACGGAAGAGGTGAGAGCCGGTGGAAGGAGGAAGATGGCACGGAGCGGGGCCTAATCGGACGGAGTTGTGGCGCGAGGAGCGCTGTTTGGCCGGGCAAGACACGATGGAGGCAGAGATGAGGGGAGAGATGACCAACGCTCCGAAATATCACCTCAACAAAGTTAGCCCCCCCAAGTGGATTATTGATATATTTTTCTTTACCAATCGTTTGGTGGTTGACTGGTAGTATTTGGTACCGTATTCAAAACTTTCGGTAGTTTTTCGTTTTTCTAGGAAATCAAAAACAAATTTTTGATCTTCTTTTAGCCCTCCCACTTTGACTGTGGTAGTTTTTTTTTTTTTAATCGATTGGCGAGTGGTTGGCAATGTTTGGTACCGCATTAAAAACTTTTGGTGGTTGCGCGTTTCTTTAGAAAATCAAAAAAACAAATTTTTGATCTTCTTTTAGCCCCCCCACTTTGACTGTGGTAATTTTTTATTTTTTTTAATTGATTGGCGATTGATTGGCAATGTTTGGTACCGCATTGAAACCTTTTGGTAGTTTCGCGTTTTAAAAAGAAAGAATTAATTGTCAACAAATTTTTAACCTTCTCTAGCGCCTTATACACTTTGACTGTTGGGAATTTTAAATTCTTTTTTTACCAATTGTTTAGTTGTTGATTGGTAATGTTAAGAGCTGTAAGTTATTGAAAATTTTATTTTAACATTCCAGTTATGTATAGTGACGATTACACACATTGTGGGCATTCAGGAGCGCATACGTATGTACACGCACTAGGCTCTGGGGTCACATGCGCATGCTCTAGGGCTTAAGCGGGGCGCACACACTTCTGCACAACGCATAATGCGTAAGCATAAGAAAATTGATTGGTCTATTTTCTTATGCACATGTGTATAGACCAATCAATTTTCTTATGCTTACGCATTATGCGTTGTGCAGAAGTGTGTGCGCCCCGCTTAAGTCCTAGAGCATGCGCATGTGACCCCAGAGCTTAGTGCGTGTACATACGTATGCGCTCCTGAATGCCCACAATGTGTGCAATCATCACTATACATAACTGGAATGTTAAAATAAAATTTTCAATAACTTAAGGCTATTGCACGTAACAAAGTTTTAGTTGTAATCGTAAGGCCGTAAGAAAATAGACCAATCGCAGTCAATTATTCTTCTTGCGCTTGAAGAATAATCAAGTGTGATTGGTCTATTTTCTTACGGCCTTACGATTAAAACTAAAACTTTGTTACGTGCAATGGCCTTTACAGCTCTTAACATTACCAATCAACCACTAAACGATTGGTAAAAAAAAGAATTTAAAATTCCCAACAGTCAAAGTGTAGGCGCTAAAGAAGGTTAAAAATTTGTTGACAATTAATTCTTTCTTTTTAAAACGCGAAACTACCAAAAGGTTTCAATGCGGTACCAAACATTGCCAATCAATCGGATCGCCAATCGATTAAAAAAAAAAATTACCACAGTCAAAGTGGGGGGGCTAAGAAAAGATCAAAAATTTGTTTTTTTGATTTTCTAAAGAAATGCGCAACCACCAAAAGTTTTTAATGCGGTACCAAACATTGCCAATCAATCGCCAATCGATTAAAAAAAAAAAAACTACCACAGTCAAAGTGGGGGGGCTAAAAAAAGATCAAAAATTTATTTTTGATTTCCTAGAAAAACGAGAAACTACCGAACGTTTTAAATACGGTACCAAATACTACCAATCAACCACCAAACGATTGGTAAAAAAAATATATCAATAATCCACTTGGGGGAGCTAACTTTGTTGAGGTCGAAAAATCCCGTCCACGAAGTTTAAGCCGTTGCACTGCGCCATCTGTCTGAATTCAATACTCGCATGGAGCAATGTTAATAAGGCAGTACTACTGTGTTATCCGAATCGTGGATGTCAATTATAATATATATTTTATATAAAATATATAGAATATGAATTATAATTTATAATACTAATATTAAATAATAATATTATTATTATTCGTTTTATAATTTGTATGATTTTAATAAAAATTATAACCAAATTTTTTTTAAATTAAATTAATATATAAAATACGATGTTTTTCATTTAATTATCTTGACACACGAATGCCACGATGTACTCTTCAGAGACACTCCATGATATTTTAAATAAGTGGAAAACTTGCTGATTAGCGATTAATACACGCGGAAATGTATAAAACTATGCGAAAGGCATATAAAACGAGACGGCTGTAAAATTCCATATATGGACTTTGACAGATAGCATTTTTCTATTTAGACATTTTTATTTAGAATAACACAATATTTGAAAATATTGTACACTGAAGAAAAAAATTTATTAACTTAACTAAATTTTTCAACTAAATTATTATTTTGTTAATTGAACATGTATTAGTATTTAAGTCAAATATATGTTTTGTTAAATTTAATATGTTATACTTAATTTTAGTATTTCTATATGTTCAATTAACAAT